TTTTGTGGTCTTCACTATCTGACAGAAAAGTTGGCCCCCAAAATCTCCAGGGAAACAATGGCAGATGGACCGTCAGGGGGAGAGAGGTCTGATACCCCCTCTATGGTCCCGGCTCCGGGATGGCGGGAGCAGTCGTTTCCCAAACTGCGGCAAGTTTCTGTTCCCTGGGCAAGACCTGGGGTGTCAACTTAAGGAATCAAGGAAGCCCCGGGCCCCTCTTCAGGCTCCAACCCCAGGGAAAGAAGAGCGCTCTCCCGGCTGCCATGTGCACAGAGGAGACTTTTCAGATGCCGGGCGAGCAGCAGAAAGCCTGGGCTGGGAGTGGGACCCAGTCCTCAGTGTGTCGCGTCGGTGCTTCCAAGTCCAATGGCGAGGTTACTGGAAAACCACAGCAAAGGAAAGGAAGCCGGCCCTGGAGGACTCAGACCCACAGGAATGCAGTTCTCTACCAGAGGAGAACTCTGACTTGCTATGGTTCTCACGCGGGTGGAAGAGCCGAATGGGAAGTGGAAGAAAAAAGTCAGATTGTGGAGGAAACTGGTCATGAAAGGTGTGTCAGGCCATAAAAACTGTGAACAATGCACTGCTCTGGGGAGGGGGGGGCGGTGTCGTTATCGCTGGCCCCAGGACAGATCATCAACACCTGGGGGCCTTCCTGTAAGCCCAGGAAAGGGGGCAGAACCATATCTGCAAGACAATGACCCCAGAAGTCTCTATGAAAGCCTTTATAAAAAGCAAAGCCTCTGCGTGTTACTCACTCTGATTTGGAAATTATTTCCGGAGCGCTCTAGTGTTAATAATCTGGATCCCTCCCTTTCTCTAGGAAGCAAGCTTGGTATTTCTTTGGTCTTCTGTAACATATGGTTCCCTGAACTGGGAAGCTAACCGCATTTGGCTCTTGCCTCCGGTAGTAGACGGGGTTTGGGGCCCGGGGGTGCGGGACAGGCCTCCGGAAGGTGCGCTCTGCTGATTTTAGCAGAATTGAACTTGGGGGAAACTCCAGGCGCTCCCAGACCTCAGCCCAAGACCCGGCCGGCATCTGGAGAAAGTGGACGGACACCTCTGGACCTGTGGACAGAATCTGTAAGGTAGGGGCCCCAGTCAGTCAGTCAGGCCCACTCCAAGTGAGTGGAAGGGGCATTTTGATCACCTCCCCAGAAATCATAGTGTAATAAGGTACCCCGCGGATCACAGAAGGATGCCTCAATAAGTCGAATTAAAGAGTCACATTTATTGCAATCCGGGACTATGAGGGGGCATCTTGCTCTCCCAAATCTCATAGTGATAAGATGGCCGAAACACCAGATTTATATAGGCAAAGATCACAAAGGTATTGATTACATCCCAGGGTTTGGAATGACGAACCTGGTTCGCAAAAAAGTAGTTTACAGAAGCAGAAGCAGCATGTTATCTAAATTATAGTTTTGGGTCTCAATGGACAGAAACACATTATCTAGAGCCTTCGGGTCTGGAATGAGGAACCTGGTCAGACTTAAGCATGTTATCTAAATTACAGTTTTTGGGTCTCCTGAGTCAACAGGGACACATTAACTGGAGCCCTCTGACCTTGGGATAATTGTGCTGTCCTTCCCAGGTAAAGGAAAATGTACTTTCTAAGACCAGTATGACCACAACAAATGGGATTTCACATTACAATCAATAGGGTATTTAATCGAATGGGATGATTTATATAATTCAGAAAATCAAAATAACTTCTATTGTTAAACAAAGCGAATAAGTAGAGAAGCCAAACAGCAGGGTTAAAGTTAAACTATAGTTTCTACCTGAGATGGTTGCTACCATACTTCAATAGGACTTCGTCAGATAAATCAGGAATCAGGACTCCAGAGGTGAGTGAATTCAGATTCGATTAAGCAATTGTTAACGTAAAAAAACACATTGAAACCTGTAAAGAATTTTTGTGAGTTTATTTGAGCCAAACTGTTGACATATACCAGGAAGCAGAACCTCAATGAATTGAGATAATGCTCCGGAGAATGGCGGGGTTACATTTGTATTTATACATTGCAATCAAAGGAGGAACATAGGTGGGTTACATGAAATTCATTGGTGATAGATTAAGGAGGAGGGATCAGCAAAGCAGGGAAACCCCTGGGATTGGATAAAAAAGTAAAATGATGGACACATACTTAGGTGGGTGCAGGAACAATTAACATGATAATGAAGGAATTTGTGGTATCTGTCCTGAGGCCCAGCACACTTGGTTGTGCCCCAGGGGCTCCAGAAAAAAAGGGAAGTTACAAGTTACCCAAACATTTCAAGGGTATGCTATCATAGATGCAAAAAGACAGATAGGCTCAGTTAAGGTAAAGGTTGACCTTGTCAGTGAAGATACCAGCTTAGGACATGACTACCCACTATAACCTGTTTGTAGTTAAATATTTACTTTTCAGACCATCTTTTGTGGTTATTTTAGGTTGTTGCAGTTAAGCCCCTCTTGTAGAATAAAGTAAAGGCAACTGGCTAACATAGAAAAAGGAAGAAGCTCACGCTCCAGTCCCCAAGGCTAGCACAATGCTTTCCCTTGCAGCTGTATCCCCGGTAAATTTGTGTGTGTATCCCAGGTAACTTTGTGTATATTTAGCCAACCGTTGTGTGGTTTCTGTGTATAAAAGGCTGGCAAAAACCAGGGTCGGCACTGTCGCAGGAAGAAAACACCTGTGGCAGTCATTGGCCAGTTCAATAAATCCTCGCTTGCTGCTTAAGACCTAATTGGAGTTGGTGGTCTTACTCTTACGAACACTGGGCCACAACATTTGGAGGCCCCAGCGAGATCCCCGGTGGGGGAGAGAGGGACCCCCTATTTAGGGCAGGAGGCTCTCCCCCATTTATTGCTGGGCATGCAGCGAGGACTTATTGAAAAAAACCTTGCAGGAGGTAAGGCCTGGAGGCGCCTGGGGTGAGATCTCACAGAAGGGAGTAAAGTGGAGGGCTGGACGCAACACTACCTCCCGACTCCAGCCGGGGGCCACAACAGTGGCCATGGCATCTGGTAAGTGTGACTTTCGGTTGCACTGGGTTTGTCTGTCTGGTGTTTGTTGTCTGGTATTTGTTGTCTTGGCATTTGTTGTCAAAAAGTCGTCTGCTTCTGTGTGCACCCCGCTGCAATGTTTTCTGAAAAATTTTCAGGACAAGGAGTGAGCTGCAGGTTCCGGGCAACCTTAGGTTGCATTTGTCTGGTTTGTTTTGTCTTTGTTCTTTGTTGTCTTTGTCTTTGTCAAAATGGGTTAGGGTCAGTCATCTTCGTCGACCCCCTATCAGTCAGGCCCACTCTGAGTGAGTGGAAGGGGAGCTTGATCACCTCCCGGGAAGCCATAGAGCTCCCTCAGGAATTGGGAATCAGTTAGGATTTGGGTGGATTGTTTAAACTCTGAGTGAATGTCCAGTGAAAGTGTGTGAGTGTGGAGGGAGGGGGCCTGCCCTCTCCTCTCCTTTATGTGGCTCCACGACTTTGGTTATGGAGTCCAAGTGGGCCCCAACCTGCGGTTCTGCGATTCGTCATATGGCATAATGGGACTCACCCCCACGTGGAGGTGACCAGGCCCGGGGTTTATATGGGTGCACCTTAGCTTAGACGAATCTAAGCTCCTAAGGGACATGGCCAGGCAGGCATCTGCATGAGGATCTGTGAAAACAGGTCACCCCTCCCTTGTCTGTCTCTTGCCACCGATCATCATGGGGTCGGGACAAAGTAAACCCACTGTTCTCAATTGCATGTTGGAAACAGCTGTTTGTTTGTGTGGGACTAGCCAATTTACTACCGAGAAGGGGGACTGGATGTAGCTCCAGTCTGAGCTAGTACTGAGAGAGTATAAGTACGGGTGTTTGCCTTAGCTACTCATTAACTGGTCTGTGTGAAGTGAAAGCTACTTTGATTTATTCTGCTTTTCTGTTGATATGCCTGGCTGAATGTTTGGGCTGGACCCGTGATGGTCTGCAAAAGTCTTTAGCAACTGCGAGAATTATTTTTCTCAGAGTCTTTTGCTCACTATTACAGGGGAATCAGCCCACTTAGCTAATAAAAATTTCTATCTATCAGTTGCTCTTACCTAGGTTGTAAATTTACTGTATTAAATTGAAGTTCTGGGGTAGATAAAG